TGAGAAAGCAAACTTTTCATCAAGTGCCAATCAACCCATTAACTCCCAGATCAAATTTGCCATTCTCCTTACTGACAACCATACATTTCTTATAATGTTAGCCAAGAGAATTTAGTACTGGATTGACTAATCATACCAATTTAACCCTTCAACTCCCATGAGTGACCAAGACAGAATTTCTCCTTACAATACCAATACAATATTAACCAGACAAGAGATATGAATAAAGAAAAATATCAATTTGGAGATAATTAGTTGATCCAATACTAAGTTCTCTGAACTAATATTATAAGAATTATATGATTGACAGTAAGGAGAATTACAAATTTGATCTGGGAGTTAAAGGGTTAACTGAACTGTTTAGCCTGGTCCTCAAGTGTCTGGATAATCTGGGTTTGTCTGCACCAGCACTCAGTAATAATTACCATGGGGATTGTGAAGAAGTAATTCAGAACAAGCCATACAAGTTATCACATCCAAGACACCTTCATGTATTATCACTTAACCATAGATTAAGTCATCATTGTACCCTGACACTCACCCTGCCACAACTGATCGTAAAAACTTTGTTGCCCGTTCAACCACTTCCAACCAAACAGGAGACACGGAAGCTTCATCAAACAAAGTTGCTTCTGGAAGACACTGCAAAGCCTCTAATGCTTCATCAAGAAGCTCACGACACAAGTCTGCATCTTCACCTGATCGCCAGGCACGACGTAGAAAAGCAAATGCAAATGACAACGCTGCCCTGGCACCAATTCTAGCAAGGCCCAGTGAAGCCTGTTCTGTATCAGCACTGCCCCGTTTCTTCCTCTTTTTACCAGTTTCTTGTTTCTCCTTCTTCACACCCTTTTTAATACTGGTCTTCATTGCATTGGATGCTTGCTCCCTCGAAAGAGCGATAAAATAACGCCCTAACACAGCTAAACGCTGCTGAAGTCTCATTGCTGACAATGTTGTTCCTGCAGCTTGGCTTGCAAGCATTCTTTGATCAAAGACAAGTCCTTGTAGTACTTCTTTTAATTGTTCAGTATTTGGTTGCTCTCCCCAGGTCCACGAGTCCATCAGGGGACCTGCTGCAGGAGGGGCTCTCTCCTCCTCTTCTTTTTGCTCCCTGTCTTCTTGGTCCAATTTCTGGCAAGGCTCACAGTTACAACCTTTGTCAGGGCCACATTGACCCTCACAGCAAGTACATTTAAGAATACAACGGCCACAATAAAATTTGCCTGTTTCTCCTTTCTGAGCAGGAATGCCATCACAGTTCATCTTTACATCAGATACCATCCTCACAATTTCTCCATCTTTAACGAGCTCATTCCATAGCTTTTTTAAACCATCAGGTAAGAAGGCAGTCTGAAAAGTTTGAAAACATTGTTTATTTTTAATTAACTCTACACAATGAAAATTCTTGCAATTGTAGACTGTAGATAGTTGTGGCCAACCTGCATTATTTTTTCAATTGTTCAACTGAAATGATACTCCTATGATCGCATCTAAATAAGATTTCATTGTACAGTAAACTTTAGAAAGATACATGCAACCAAACAATTGACCTCTTTAGCTCATACCAGTTGTTTTCCTAAGGGGGCTCTCAAAGGAATTCCTACTTATGTCTTAAGGAAATTATGCCTACAAATTATGCACTGGATGAAATCTGAAAAAAAAAGCAGTTCCCTGAAGTATCATAAAGTACCATTGCATGACCTCTGTTAAGAAAACAAAACATACAAGCTAAAGAGGATTACTGCCAAAGCAATATGAGTTGTCTGAAGAAGGAAATTTGCAAATGATTTCTACTAGTTTGAGAACAACAATCCACTTCAAACTGAATTTGGAGAGATCTCAGGCTGAAATTTGACCAAACATACTGATTAGACAATCTAATTTCTTTGTGAAATTTTAGGAACTCATTTACCCAGAATTTTTGGGGATCTGTTCATTCAGAAACATTCCAATTCTCTTAGGAGAAAATTCATGCATTGATAGGGCATTTCGTTCATGCACTGGGTCACCCTACATGTATCTATATTGTATTTGAATATTGAGATGTCTAGCTGTTCAAAAAATGGAATGACAATATAAGGGGCAAATTATAGCCTGTCTACTGAAAGATTTAACTCTTTAAAACTCAGATCAAACTTGTAACTCTCCTTACTGTCAACCATACCATTCTTATAATGTTATTTCAGAGAATTTAGTATTGGATCAACTCATTATCCCTTAATTGATCTTTTTCTTTACTCTCATCACTAATCTGATTGATATTGTATATATGTTGTAAGGAGAAATTCTGTCCTGGTCACTCATGGGAGTTGAAGGGTTAACAGATGCAGGATAAACACCTTTGCTATATCAATTTTCATATGGAGTAGGTGTGATATGCCTCATAAATGAGGTAGTCAAGATATTGTTTTGTATTTAATCCTCTCTCTCCCAAGATCCAGATCGTTTTTGTTCTCTGTACCATCCCTCATGGTTGCTTATCATTTTAGCTCTGAGAATTTCCCCTTAAATCAAGTGTAACCTCTAATTGATATTTTCCTCCTCATTGCCTTGCTGCTTTTGGATATTGTACAGATAAATTTCTTGTTGGTCCCTCCTTAGAGTGAAAGGCTTAAGAGGCATCCTTTGTGTACAGGCTGGTTGGAAAACCACTGAGAAGGGTTAACATTCAACCAGGTTCTTCCTAATCCGTATATAAATAGGGTGAAAATATTGAGCAGTTCTTTCTGAACAAAATCCTCTGTAAAATATGTTTCAACCACAGAAAAAAGTACACATTTCCATCCACCTGTATGTACTCATGTTATTCCAAGTAATAAAAGCATTACTCTGCTTAACAAGTGTATTTCACAGGTGCATATCAACCCTCGAACATAGTCGTTAAACAACTTTGTAACGACCTTCAGCGAAGCGTTTAGCAAGTAAACATCACACCTGCAATACTCTCACAAGTATCGATTTTGGAGATACACTTCAAATCATAGTTTCAGTTAATTTGATTAAAGGCTATATCATGAAACCTGGCGGAGAATATAATTTGCGATATAATGATAGAAATAAGAAAGTGAATTATTGCCGGGTATGAGTACACATAAATAACAGCTTAGCGACGGTAACAAATTGATAACAAAATAGCGTTAGCGGCTTGAAATCAGTTCAAATTTCAAAACATGCATGCATGTACTGTATTAGGAGTGAATTGGTAAAGATCGAATAAATCTTGAACTTTAATTGCCCAGTATGAGTTAAAAAGAGGTACTGATGAATCTAAAACTAAGTTATACACTGAAGGATTTTGAAATAAAGTTCAAAACGCAGGCGCGGCGAGAGAAAGAACTGATCGATTTACATATATTGCTTCCCACAAAAATGAAGGTGAGGCTCGTGCCAAGAAAATTTGAAGTCAGCACCGGTTCGAAGAACTATTTACCCTTCCCTTCTGATATAATCTTGCCATGAGTTAACCCACCACCTGTTTAAATCTTACCTGTATGTCAGTCTTCAACCACTTCGCACCCAGCCTTGGTTGAGGTCGCAAACAAGACACCGGGTTTGTTAGATTGGGCATCTTTCAGACCTTGTAAAATTTCACCAATAATTACTTCGGAGGATGAAGATATCGAGGTGGAGCGTGCAGCATCTCTTAGCCGAAAGAGTAGCGTCTCGTTTTTAAGGCATAATGCGGAACAATCAAGCTTTCGATATGTACAGTAAACTTTGGCCGCAATTCAGCACACGTAAAAAGCGTGTGTTGTCACCGTTAAGTCAGTAGAAAATATTGCCTGACATGTAGGAGATGGCAGCGACCGCTGAACAAGATAACTCGCCCCAGTCTACCGAGCGCGTCTTGAGTGGTACAACGTTCGCAACGGGCGCTTATCAACATAAAATTAGGGGGTGGCTGGCCATTTATATTAGAAACAATATTGGAAAGCATGCTTTCACTCTGGATGGACCACTCACTCTGAACACTGTGATTAAGTTCAGAGTGAGCTAGCACAATTTCTGGAATAATTAAGGAAAACGAACATAATTTTTGCTCTTTTTTTGTAAGCAGCACTGCCAGGACAATCAGAATATTTTTAGTAATATTTAAGGGATCATTACCAGAGTTATAAATTGTTTGGTGTCTAAGATTTATCATCATGGTTCAAGAATTTTGTAATATCTTGGAAGAAGAAAGTTACCTCAACATTCATTTTCTATTGGACTTGGCAAACCAAAAGTAAATATTTTATCAGGTTCCCGTGCTCCTAACCGATTCCTGCGTGCTTTACAATAGAACAGAACACAGTCTAGGCTTTTTTTTTTTAGTATAGTTTAAATTTGAAACTTGATAACTTCAAGAAGCTCCAGGAAAGAAAAAGAGGGTTCAACAGATGAACGAAGTTAGTTGAAACCAACTGTGTTTCGGTTTTCAATAATTTATTCACGTTCCTCTCTCTTACAAACCCGTTTGATTAAAACGTTTTAAAATACTAGAGCAAGACATATCTGGAATTATACGATTTATTAACTCCAGGTCTGGATTACACTCTTATTTTCCCACGATTACTTGATATTTTTTAATCGTCAGCTTAAATCCGGGGGCAGTTCCGACGTAGTTGGATGTAAATATCAGGTACATCTGGCCACCTGAGACTTGTATCGGTGCAAGGTTGAACCTCTCCCCGTCGAAATCGAATATGAGATCACTCGCTGTTAACAGAAGCAAATAAACAAGGGTTAAATGAAACAAGAGAAATTATGACGAAGAATAATCCAAAACAGAAGTCAAGAGAGGCCATGAGGGGTTACCCTCATTCCCAGGGTTCTTTGCCTCCTTCTTCGAGGAACGGAAAGAGAGGAACCCTGAGAACGCGGTTGATGACTGGGAAACAATTTCGCGTATTACGGGCTCTTTTTAGTTTCCTAAAGATAAACAGAAAATAATCTAGTGGCAATCGATAATCTGAAACTGAAAAAATAAAATAAACGAAAGTAACCATAATCGATAACTACTTACAAGTAAAGGAGCTAATTGAGCTGTATCCTTTCAAAAGATCATAGCCAGACTGTGTGTGGAAGCTCTCAAATTCCAGCTGGAAGGGTATGCCAAGGGCGAGTGTCCACACACAAGTGGCACTATTCGGATAGTCACTGGGGAAGTTGGGTGACATTACGGTCTGGTCTAGCGCAGTAATTACACCTCCACATGCTGATAAGTGGTAAAAATTGTCTTATTAGAAGGATATATACCGAGAAACTCCAAGAAATTGTCAGAATGATACCACGTAACAAAAAACGTCGCGTGACATTCCCCACTTTCGAATAAGACTATTAACATGTAGGAAACAGAAAAAAAAGCGACATCAACCCGCCTATTTTAAGGCTTTTGTTCCAAATGTCATCAAATATCAGTTAAGAAAGGTGAAGAGCACTAAAATGGAAGGATGGAGAAGATTGTTCTCAAATTCATAAAGTATGCTCAAGGCAGGCAGCTGACATATTTCTGTGCGAGCACAAAACGTCCTCGGCCCGTGTTGGAACGAGTCGCGTTAAGGCGAAAAATAAGGTGCTAATCATTTGTCTAAGACTTTATTTTCCATAAAGTCTATATTAGTTTAATGCCCTATTTGATAATATTAGTTTATTAGATTTTTTTTTCAGTAAATAGTATTGCCTATTATGTTGTGTTGTATTGTACTGTATCGTTTTAGCACTACAATGCCAAAACGAATTATGTCGCTTGTAACGTGATTTTATGAGAAATAAATGATTTTAGAACGCTAGACGAAAAAGAGTTGTGGCATATAATTTTCTCCTGGAGAAAACGGCCGTTGCAGCACATTTGGTGTAGGATTAAACACTTACTGACTTGCTGGAACGATGCTGAAAATCCTGCCGAGTTTTCACTACCATCAGACACAAAACGTATATCAATTGAGGTACTTTCGGACGTGAATGAAACCGGTTTGGAATAAACGCCAGAGAGTTTGGTGATAAGTGCTTTGGAACCACCGTCATATATTTCTACCATATCTTTGTTCTTTTGGGTTTTTAGCGAATTGAATGTAACCATAACCTTCTTGCCGGCTGGCACGCTTATTTTCCAGCGGCAGTAGGCATTGTCTGGGTAGCTGTTGGGGTTGTTTGGTGAACTAAAACTCCCGGAGGGCCCAACAAGTTCTGCGCCACATGATGAAACTGTTAAGAAATTAATTAATTTGTTCAGTCAGTTCAACTTCACAGTCGTTTTTGAAAACGATTGTCAAGGTAATCTGGAGGAGAAAATGTAAAATAGAATATCTCTGGAGTGTGGAGAAGTGCTTTTAAGGACCTTTTGAGTACTGTACTTGAGAGCATTTATGTTTTTGTTTTGTTTTGTTTTGTTTTTTCACTTCTGAAATTTTTAAAATGACCAGTTATTATTATCTAGCTAAGCTTTCCAATTCCCATATTTTGTCTAACAGGATTCTCCTTGAATGGGCACTGTGCCAAGGCTTTTCGAATAAATTGAGGTCATGAAAAATGGATGTTATCTTGAAGGAACCAATGAGCAAAAGAATGAATAAGGGGAATGAAGGAGAGAAGCAAAGGGAAAAAATAAAGGTGTGAATAAATTAATGAATGAACGTTTACGGGAAAAAACCATGAGTGTCAATGTTCGAATGATCCAATAAATTAATCAATCAATGAAAAAGTGGATGAGTGAGTTTATCGAAGAAAAGTACAAATAGACAGCTTACCATCACAACTGGGGACTACCGCAGACCAAGTCCCGTCCAGTTGGCATTTGCTTTCCCTGGTTCCCACAAGTTGGTAGCCAGGTTTGCAGTCATATACCACAATCTTTCCATAAGTAAATTCTGATCCAAAGCGCTCCCCGTTTGAAGGCAATCCAGGATCTCCGCAGCTGACAACTACAGGAATTTCTTACAGTTATATTTCTTGAAAATGCAACTTGAATCTTTGATATATGAATCGAAGACTACAAATTCCTAAAACCTGTCTAATGAACCTATAGAAGGATCCTTAATCCGTCATGACCAAATCAACCTCAAGTTTTGACCGCGTATGCCTATATTGATTATGAAAGATACGTTACAATTTTTAAAGCTGATAGATGAAATCTTCAGGCTGGGTAAAGTGGTTACTATCTTCAGGTTTCCTGGTTCAAATTCTTAAATAAAGGCCAATTCAGTTTGGGTGCTAAGAACAAACAAACTGAGAACTCCATCAGAAAGTATCTCTACGGATGGATTGAACTGGATAAGTGGCAACATTCATAGCGGTCGTGTAGAAAAAATTCGTAAGTAAGTCTATGTTATCGTGAAGAAGATTTTCGAAAAACAACAATTTCATCTAGTTTCCTACCTTACTCTTAACTCCCCTTAATATCTAGCTCATGGGGAAATTTTAGTTTAATTGCTGTTTTAGCTCGTCAAAGTGGTACCCAAATCGGGATCACTTCTGACTGAGAGGCATAAAGCAATTCTTTTGCGTCTTTATGATTTGAATTAGACATCGACTTACGTTGGCAGGTTGGTTGTGTTCCATCCCAATTATTGTCCGTTTTGCATGTTCTGGAGCTGGACCCAATTAAGTTATATCCTTCATTACACTGGAATTGAACAACATCATGATACTTGTAGCTATCTCCAACCTTAATTCCGTTTTCCGGTGTACCAGGGTTGCCACATGAGTTTTCTGCCATCAGAAGACATAAAAAGTGAGATTTGATAGTTATAGATTAGAGATAATATTTTTTAAAATCTATCCGCTTGGTATACGTATGAGTCAGTATGGCTCCCCTGATCGATAGTTCTACTTGATGCGCTCATTTTAAAGCTGTAGGCGAAACGTTTAGAAAGGTAGACACTTTAAGTGTTCCTTCTCACAGCCCCAAGTTTTGATTCGCATCACTCATTGAGGCGTTGATAGATTTTTTCATAAATCGTTTGGGCAAATCCAGTGTATTATCCATATTACAGCTTTTAGGCATTGTGTTCTGACATAGTTAGCATATTGAGCCTCGTAGTTAGCAAATTAATATGGAAAGGAATACCCAACCGATGTTAAAGAATTAAAATGGAAAGATACTTACCCACGACATTGTTTTTCATAATATTTACGTTTCGAAGAGCAAATGCTAAGCCCCGGGAAGGAAGCGACTCTTCATCCCACACCTTAGCCCTCGGAGAAAACAACAAATCTAGAAATAAAACTTACCTAGACAGACTGGCTGAGTTCCACTCCATGTACCGTTAGCCTGACATATTCTCTCTTCTGAACCTGACAGCTTGAAGTTTGAGGCTACGCAAGAGAACGTCACCTTTGCATTGTAGGAATAGTCTGAGCCATGATGTTGACCGTTTGCTATTGCTGGAGGTTCACCGCAATTTACCACTAGAAGGGAGATATAAATTAGATTCGTCTCTTTACCTTCAGAAGTGATTCAACTTATGGAGTGTTTAGTTTCTTTGTTTTGTCGTTGCTGGAATCATCTTCAACCGAAAGCAATATGGGAGAAGTTAATTAAAATTAAACAGGTCTATGAAATTTACTGTTATACTAGCCTTTTCATGGAAGGTTCACGTGAATGGTTTGTTTGCTGTCGATAAACCTAATAAGGAGACTAAACTAACTAACTGCTATAATAAGAGGTATAAAAAGAAGTATTAACCAGAGCATGGCTTTATAGAAATTCAAAGTTTTTAACAATGAAAATCAATTGTTTCAGAGAATATCACAATGAAATTGAAGTTACTTTGTTTCATACGAATCACTGAAAAAACGTTCCTTGTCCAACCATGCTTACTAGAGCTAAAGATTCAATTTTGCTGTTAATTATTACTAACAATCACAAGACGGCGTGGGAGCGTTCCAGGCGTTTCCTTGGCAAATAGCATAATCTTGACCAACCAGTTTGTAACCGAGGTCACATTCAAATCTGATGGTGTCGCCATTTTTCCTTTGAAGACCAATCAGCTTTCCATTATTCGGAACCGAAGGCTCAGGACAGTCAGCAGCTGAGGAAAGAAACATTACCTTAGGTTTAGATAACAATATTCAGTCTAGCGGAACCATTCTTGCTGTCGCACGTAGTTTCACCTTCTCGAAGTTTTAGTGTCACCCATCTTACCTATGCAGCGAGGATGCTCTCCGCTCCAGGACCCGTCGGCCTGACATGTACGAGTTGTTGATCCCACTAATCGGAATCCCTGATTGCATGTGTAAGTGACAACAGTGTTATATGAATTTGCTGAGGTGCTTTTCATTCCGTCCTTAAGGTCTCCGGGCAGGATGCATTTAACTCCTAAAAGAAAAAAAAAGGCCTCAATGATTAAATTATTTAGTTTAGCAGTTTGTCAACAAAACTGCGTCCCAAACAATCCTCAATTTAGCTGAACTTTTTATCTGAAAAATTTTTTTTGTTAACAGTGTTAAGAGGGTCGAAAGGCGACAGTGATCAACCCCCCTATAGAGAAAAACTGAGGCCTAATGTTTGCGGAAACCGTGTATTGGGTTATACCTCGCGTAAATAACCTTAGAGTTTTCAACAGTCTTAATGCGATAAAACTTAGAAATAGTCTCACCATCACAGCGAGGTACATTTCCAGACCACTCGCCATTAGCCAAACATGTTCTTGTGGACGATCCCCTCAATATGTAACCAACGTTGCACTCAAATTTCACAGTGCTATCTAGGGTTGTTGCTGGATTAACTGGGTCCAGTTTCCCATTGGCAAAGCTATGTATAGCTGGACAAGAGTTTGCTGATGATGGAATGACAAATTTTAATAGATTATACATGTAAGTTTACAATTTGCGGCAAATTTTAATCGTTAAGTTAGCCTATCAGTCCGTCGGTCAGTCAGTCGTTTGGTCAGTCAATCAGTCAATCAGCCAGCCAGTCACTTACTTAGCTAAGCAGTCAGCCGACGTGCATGTTTGCCTTTCTATTGGTGGGTTCATTTTCTTTACAATGAAAGTAAGAAGCCTGGTTTACCTGTGCATGTTTTCTTATCGTTGTTGAGAGTATATCCTGGCCTACACAGACAGCTATATCCTAGAAACGTATTGACACAAATCTGCCCACACGGTCCCAATCCAGCGTTGGTAGAACATTCATTCTCATCTGGGAAAAACAAGGAGAGAGAGTTATCAGTTAAAGTATTCTCGCCTGTTTTACTTGGACCACTGTTACTGATTAAGCATGTGGGCTGTTGCAATTCATAGGGAAATTTCAGTATGAAGCAACTCAGATGCTAAAAATGTACATGCCAATTCATTTATAACATGTTGTTATAAATTAACCCTTTTTTCCGTCGTAAATCATGCAGTCTATTTTGGAATGGTTTGATAAATCAGTGGCACGAACATCTCTAAGAGTCTTCTGTAAGGTAACAGATTGCTTCAAGCACTCGAGATTTTCTTCTTTTCAAGTACACCTGCGTCACTGACTGCAATATCTTATCTTTTATTCTTCAAATCGTCATGTTTAATGATAATCTTCCCACTATCATGATGGCTCGAAGGAATGCTCGGATGGCATAGCTTCAGTTAGAGAAGCCTAGAGTAAGGGCTTCTTGAATTTGGATCATTTATTAAAATTGTTTGGGTATTATTTGGTTATGCATATGCTTTACCTGCGCATGATCTACTGTCCGCCATTAAACTGTACCCAGATCCACATGTACAGCGGTAGCTACCGACACTGTTATGACAGCTCTGCTGGCAGTTTCCATTATTGGAATTGCACTCGTTTATGTCTGATTGATAAACGTTAATATGAGGGAGAGTTAAATTCAATTTCATACAACTACATCCTATTAGTCTCCTTGATTCTTAGAATAGCACAATTCTGCTTGGGTGATTGTTGCTGTGAAACTGGTTTAAGTAAAGTTTTATGGAAAAAAATAATGTTTATAACTGATTTGCCCCCTTGAGGAACGAGCGAGTATTTAACTATTAAGAGACAACGACCGCGAGAAAAAAATAGAAAACATTCAAAGAATCAAACTTAATATGTTCAATGAAAGTGTATGTTAGTGAGTGTATCTTGATGCGGGCAACATGTGCTTTTGCTAAAAAATGCGTAAAATTAGTCTTTACTTTACTCGATTTTCAAAAATCCAGTTAATGCTAACACCTTTGACAAAACTCATGCGTGACTGAGAGAAGATCTTAGTTTGGGAAAAATGTAGTACTTTTTCTTCATCTGTTTTTTTTTTTTTTTTTTGTTCTTTCAATCTATCATAATTTCCATTCTAACAGCGACTTCTTTTAAAATATTTCTACCTGAACAGCTTCCGTCTTGATTAAGTGAATATCCCGCATTGCACCTGCATTTGTAACTTCCTAACGTGTTTACGCACTCTTGCCCGCAGTTTGCCTGTCCGGTGGAGCATTCATCAATGTCTGTGGAGGAAGCAAAAGGAGCATTTTTATCTAAAGTTCTTGTCCACAAATAGTCTTTTCTTTAAAGACTGCATTCGCAGACGCTGGCTTTGATTAAAGCCTCTTGAGTCCATCCAAGAGATTATAATCTCGGCGCATCAGATCTCCGATAGCCACCAGTAGTAGTACGAGTTAAATGTCACGATGACTTCATTTCTTTTCAGTCATGTATATATTCTCACCTATGCATTGTGGGACAAGAGCATCCCATTTTCCACCAACACAGTTCAGCGTTGCCGTTCCACTTGCCTTGTATCCATTATCGCAATGGATGGTCATTTTACTGCCCAAAACTCGGCTACCACTATACTTGCCATGTGCAATTTTTCCGGGACATGGACATTTTAGAGCTGCCAATCAATTATTAAAACACAGTTGTTGTTCAAGCAGAAAGGTAAGTCTTGAAGAAGCTTTAGTATTAAGTCAGCTCAAAACTTCGAATTCATCCCTTACCAAAAAAATGACTATTAAAAACGAAAGTTCGAGGGTCAAGACAATATCTTTTGGAATACTGTACCTGCGTTTATAAACCTTTGATTGCTCACACGTCTTTCCTATTTTTTTTGTAGGCTTAGCAGAATTTTAGCTCTCAGGCTTTGTATACTTGGAATGCGACTTAAACACGTTTCATCCCTCACGTGGATGCAATCATAAGCTTGTGTTTTCTTGTCCCTTCTCCTTCCTTTTTTATGCATGTTTCGCTCTCTAACTTCTGCATGTTAGTTACAGCCCGAACGGAGACGAATTAAAATGCAAGGGTCTCTGGCTCTGACCAGGATTGAATTCAGGTAATTTAAGAAAGAAAGCAATGTGTGTTATTGGGAAGAGGGTGAGGAATATAAGTCACCTCTATAACCTTTCATACCTGTTTCACAATGGCGACCCTCATATCCTGCTTGACATTTGCATTTATATCCAACTGGAAGAGTCTCACATGTCCCGTGAGCTCCACATGGATTGCTGTTGCAGGCACTATTCGCTGTTTGTTGGAAACGTTTCGGTTAGTTTGCTGTATGTTGTAGATTATCATGCTGAATTATAATCTTTAGAGTAGTAAGAAACACAAAACAAAAAGGCATATCTTGCTTTTTCCTCGTTCTGTGTTTGCGAGGCGCCTCTAATAATCGATTATTAGCTCTTGATTTACAATGCAAATTATAGCTAGATTATGTGTAGTTACACTTATGTCAAGATTGCACGCAGTAATGAAAATGGCAGATTTGATGACATATCCATTTTTGGAAACATCCCCTCCACTTATGTTCAGAAATGCACGCAGTAACGAAAATGGCAGATTTGACGAAAGTTCGTCAAAGCGATTGAATTTTCATATATTTGACAATTTTGGCCAATTTTCGGTCAAATTCGCTTGAGCGAATTCAGCTCGGCAGATTGGATTGAAGAATTTTCGCTGTTTTCGTCACCCCATGCGTCTCTGGACATATGTCCGTGTTTAGCAGTAAGACATTGCTAATGCTCTCCGAATAAACAAGAAAAAATTCTAAAACGTGGAATACAAACTAAACTCTTTACCTGGGCACGTGCAGACATATCGAACTTTAAAGTCAGGACAGCTGCGTCCAGTTCTTTGATCGCTATTCAAACACGTGATACCACTATCTGAGCAAGTACTTGTCAAATTCAATTCAAGGTCTGGCATTGATCTTCCATCGATATCCTGACAATCAAATAGACCGGGTCCCGCACATGCACCTGCACGAGTCTCCGTGTCCCCTGCACCAGTGGTGGGTAAGTCATTGTTTAGCCACGCAGTCCAGCATTTGTTATCTACAATTCGAAAACGAAAACAAATAACTAACTATAACAATAATATTAACAACAACACTAGTAATATTGATAATTATAATGATAATAACAAATACATGTAATCGTTAAATATTTAATCAATGTTATACCCTCAACCAAGCAGCACCTCGGTACATGGGTTTGGGGGAATATTTTTTAACGATTTGGTTTGGATTAATCAAATTATTCCTCCTCATTTATTGACTCAATTACCAACAGTTTTTGTTGTTAATGAAATGAAGTGAAGCGAAATGATCTCCCTGAAATTCTGATTAATGTAGCAGATATTCTGCATCAATGCAAACCTAATGCCGATAACATAGTGTTTTGCTCCAATTTGCATGATTTCAACAAAAGGTAATAGATTGAATAATTGATAATAAATGTTCGCGAACGAGAGTGTTAATTGCACGTACCAGTTCGTGCTACGGACGGTTGAATCTTCTTAATACCGCTATTGGCCACATCAAAGAAATCGGGCCATCCAACGACATTTCCAAGGAGGCTTTCAGCGTGTCGTGCCATGTCTGCAATATCTCCGGCCGTGAGTTCATAACTCCAAACGTTCATCTGACTCATTTTGCCGATAAAAGCTTCATTAGCACTAAAGTTGGCTGCCACAGCGTCTTGTTCTTGTCCAAGAACAAAAGACCCTCCTGCTGCGATAACCTGGAAAACAAAAACAAAAAAAAACCAGAAGTTACATCAGGTACAATTACTTTGCCAAGCCTTTGAGATAATTTGGTTAAAGCATTTAGATGATTTACCATGTTTCCTTAAAAGAATTGTCATTCCCTCCCTTCATACTAGCCTTTTTAAATATTTTTCATGGTGGAAAACACCAAGGAGATGTAAGAGGTAATCAAAGCCGCGCGAATGATAAGAAAGAAAGAGTGATCATAATAAGTAGCTAAAGAACTCTTTTGCATTATTATGGATTGTTTTATTTGTAAGAGAAGAAGCAAGTAGGCAATATCTGTTGTATCACTCAGGTCGGTGTAATTACACGACTAACCTGTCCCTTCTGAAAAGGCTCAGCCGGATCACTTTTTCTGACGAGGCTTCCATCCTTGTACACTTTCCATGTCCCCGTTGAACTTTCCCAGGTCATTACCATATGATGCCATTTATCGTCATTTGCTGCTACATTCGTGGAAGCTTTCTCACCGTTCACCCAAATGTTAAACCCATTATAGTCATGAATGACAAGAGCATTCTCCTCAACTTTCTCTAAAAAAAATTCGCAAAATATATGATTTAAGGACGTTGTATGATGGACTTTTTCTTGTTCAGACCTGATTTACTTTAAAAATAAGCGACGTGAAGCTAGCTACCTAATCGAAGATCGTTTATCATCATCATTATTAAAATCACAACTAGTAGCTAATAGCTGAATTACTCGTGCAATATACATAATTTACAATAATTTAAAAAGCATACAATTACAAAAGATATAAATCGTATAATAATAAAACCTAAATATAAACCTACTTAAATTTACATTTGCTTTTTTTCTGAATAGTGCATTATGATGGAATTTTGAAACCTTTTGGTTTTGATACCGGGCGTAGTAAACATTCGGTTATTCCTTAATTTGTACTGAGAGGCATTATTGCGCGCAGGTAGCAGGTCGGCTAGTTTATGGTTGCCATCACTCTCTTTGATCTGATTGAACAGATTTGCGCATAATTCTTCCCGCTTATCTAAAGGTGTTTTCAGATTTACATCTTCTAGCGCTTTTCTATACGACGCCTCTGGTTAAATGATCCTTAAAACTTGCTTCTGAACGCTTCTGAAGATAAGACTCTCGGTAGTTAAGCTTGATTTGCAAGATTGATGTATTCCAAAGTGCACGGTTCTTGCCTGGACAGGGCGCTTCTCGATTGAGTGTCATAAAACCACAATCAATGTAAACGAAACGGCCAATAAAAAGAAAGGAAATACCTTTAAGAACCAATGAGAACTCAAACTTAAACTAACCCAATCGACTCAAGCCCGGGAAAATGTGAGCGAGAAAGTCGTGGTTTTTAGTTTTGCATCTGACCAGTTGAGAGAGTGGTGCGAGTTTTTACCAATCACAGAGCGAAGTAAATAAAAACTAAAGGAATTCCAGATTACTTTCGAAATTTAATTAAAAGGTGCTTTGACAAGCTTGATTTTTGTACATTCAACTCAATAACTCTTTTCTGATTAGCCGAAGCGTATAGTGAATTTTCGCAATAAGCGCCTGGGAAGTCATCTATCTGCAGATTATACAATAATCATGTCTAGGACACTCAAGGTCACGGGTAGCCATATCATTTGTATATTTTTTACACGTTTAGAAATAAATTATCTGTTCCACTTACTGTTGTGACCCTTTTTTTTTGCGTTCAGTACATGGTAAGATAATTATTAGATTCGGTTTTTGTGATATTCTGAATAATCAAGGTGGAGGTAGAGGTTATCGGCTGAAGCCTTCGGCTTCGGCTGAGAACCCTGATAACCTTTACCGAGAAAAATATGCTCATGTATCTTGAACTGGTTACAACTTTCATGCTTTCGTAGAGATCCCTCGATATCACAAAAAACTCATCTGATAATTGTTTATGATCAGCAAATAGGAAATATTATCATACCTCCCACTTTGACAGCATATGATAAAGGTGTTCCAGGATTAACCTCACTGTTGGCAACTTTCATCCAGAAAGCGACAGAAAACGCTCTCAATTCCTGACGCATTTCCACGATAGCTAATCCACGACCCAGTTTTCTATCGAACTCCATGTCAAAGTCAGCGGAAATTTCTTGAAAAAAAATGCTTTTTGTGAGAAAAATATGCTAATGTATCTTAAACAGGTTTTAACATTTATGCTTTTGTAGAAGTCGCTAGAGCCAAAGTAAAATAACGAATGATTTATGTGAGGTGCAAAGCTAATTCAAGAACTAAAGTAAAGCAAGGTGTTCTTTCGGAGCGACTTAAATATCTGGTTCACCAATTGAGGCATCTTCCTGGTAAGCTATTTTCTACTGAAAACTAATTTATTAGTAAAACATAAGAAAATTAAGTAAAAAAAAAAAAAAAGAAAGCAAGTAATAGCCGTGTCAAAAGAAAGTTTTGAATTCTGGTGGAAACCTTTTCGCAAATTTATAGATGATGAAAAAAAAACAAAACTCTTTCAATTTTGAAAGCCCTGGCGTTATCCCTTCAAATACCTGTCTCGCAGTTAGATCCCTTGAAGGAAGGTTTGCAGTAACACTTGTAACCATTTGTTTGATCAACACAGTGTCCGTTGTTCTGACATGGTGAGCTTGAACACTCATTAATATTAATTTCGCATTTTGTGCCTGCAAAACCTGCCAAACAGGTGCATTCTGGACCATAGCTGGTTTCCTTGCAAGTCCCGCCATTCAAGCAAGAGTCTGGAAGACAGCCATTGTCATTCTTTTCGCATAGATTTCCACTGAAGCCTAAGGGGCAGATGCACTGGAATGCGGAGGTCTTGCTCAAACAATTTCCACCATTCTTACATGGTGCTGCTTTGCACTCCTTGGATGTGGAAACAAAAGAGTACCAGTCAATATCTGGCTATATTTTTGTTAATGAAATATCCTATGTAACAAAAATAGAAAAATGAACCAAGCTGTGATCGATTAGAAAAAAATGTCTTACGGTCCCAGAGACGAATTTGTTAGGGATTGTTCGTCATTATTGGAAACAATTTATCAAATATTTATCTAACTTTATTGATTCGATGTCAGTGCCTCATTTGCAGTAAAGTGGTCTTGCCTACGTTTTCATGTCCTTGTTGTAGAGCCAATTAAGTGATTCCCGCCGGCTAAGGGTATAAAATACATCATGAAGTAACGCATGCTAGTAGATGGCGTGATTATTTTTCGATGTTAGGATCAACAGAGCGAACTGAATATTCTCCAAAAAAGTGAATTTAAGGCTGGCCTAGCTAAGGGCGACGAGGCACGTTTTTTTTCTTTTGCACAGCATCGACGTTTCGAACCTCCCGAGAAAAAAAACCAGCCATTCTCTTATAGGAAAAGGTAGTAAGCCCTTATAATTATCTTAATTTTCCACAAATCATTTGCTATATTTGTCATAATATTCTTCAATACGGACGCACACATCTTTGCAGTCACTGGTGTTACCATACTGCTTTCTTTTGTCTTTTTTGACGTACATTGATTTTTGTCTCACAGAATTGTCCTTCGTATCCATCTGGGCAGACACATTCGTGTCCATCTGGGGAATTGACGCACTGTGAACCAGAGGCGCATTTGCTACTGTCACAGCTACTCTGTTTGACGTCACAATGAGCTCCAGTGTAGTCAGGAGGACAAAAACACTCATACCCATTTATCTGTGAGAAAAATTGGTTGATAAGTTGCACATTTAGCATTTAGGTTTGTCACAAAAAGGATCGATGGCCGTCGAATCACCATCGACCTCTGTTATAAACATAATACACATCGCACAGAGAGGTAAGAAGCTGAAGTTAAATTAGCGCACAACCGTTCCAAGAAGTGTAAACTAAAGATAAGTACCCTTAAGACTTTTTTTTCTCTTTTTCTTTTTTCTCTTTTCACAGAGGTAAAGCTGGGCTATACCTAATATAATTGTTACCCGCTTTTCTTCTTGGGAAGGAAAGGCCTGATCCTAAGATAGCCTTGCACCCTTACATCTCAGAATACGTACTTATTATATGTTACCTGAATCGTCAATATTAGTTCATCCACTTTCGCTCTCTATAGGTCATAACTTTAGATACTCGACTTTCGCATGCGTACCTTTATCATCGTTCTTGAACATCCAAACAGAAAGCAATAAGGAAGATGACATGTACTATAGAACATCAAAGGCTTGATCACCTACCTTGTCAACGCATGTAGATCCTTTAGTACACGGACTTGAGACACATTCATCCTCTTCGATATCGCAATTTGCTCCGGTAAACCCTGGTTTGCAATTGCATTTGTATCCCTGGGCCACTTCAACGCACGTAGCATCGTTGTTGCATGGACTGGACGCACAGCTCAAAATCGCTGTCATGTGAAGTGATGTTAGTGAGTTGGATAAATTACATATTTGTTCTAAAATTGATTACGGCTATTCTCTCGAGATAAGTAAGATAATTAACATCTCCTTACAATGCAACAGAAGTATCTTCCACAGCACAAGACACAATGCAGAAATCATAGAAAGTCAATTCTATCAGCAGTCTATAGTGGTTTGCAAGAGATCATGCCACTCACCGATACACTGGCTCGGTAATGAAGCACCTTGACCATAAGTTGATTTGTTGTCACATGATAAGCACTTAGTTTGCTTTCTTTCGGATTGATAAGTCCCTTGAGCACATGGTAAGCAGGGTTCAACACCGGTCTGAGAATATGTTCCAGGAGCACACGGCACTGAAATTGATAATGAAACGTGAGTGATTCTTTAAAGGCACCCTGTTGATGGGCGTTGGAAAACAATATTGGATTGCATCTCTCTCTTTAATCTTGAGAAAGCACGCTAGTCTTCGGGATTACTGATTTTGTTTCTAGTTATTCCATTGTAGGAAGATGGTTTCCTGCTCGAAATAACCGCACCACCTTTTTCATCTTGATAGAACCATCATTAGCATATCTTGATCCAGGAAATTAGGAACATCTCAAGAATAACAACAATAACATCTAACGAGGACGTCGGTAAAAACGATAGGAAAAAACTGCGAGAACAACTCACATGAAAATACAACGCCAACAAGAATAATTACAATAACGATGATAAAAACGATAAAAACAATCGTGATGATAATAATTATAATGGAAGTGACGATACCGGATGATGGTGAATTGATAATGACAATGAATACGGATCGTAATGTCAACGATGATGATGATGACAACTGTAAAAATGTTTTGTCTTCACGATTAAAAAATGGACGTATGAATGAGTACAAAACAAGAAGAAAATAAACGACGTAAAGAGAAAAACACGCATACACAAAAAACAAACATACAAACAAAAAAACACCACCAACAACATCAAAACTAAAACAGAGAATTACTTCCGCATCCACTGATTGAGTTGGTACCAAATCCCAAAGTGACTGATGATCCTGGACAGGCAATGCACGACGTCTGTCGCAGAAGAGACTGGTAAGTATTTAAGGGGCATTGTGCACAGTTGGCGAGGCCAGTAGGTGAGAACTCTCCAGGTTGACAAGCGGCTACAGTAAAAGATAATCAATTTTCTAAAAAGTTTTGAACTAACTACTTGTCTATACGTTACTTGAAGCAAGTGGCCCATGCAGCTGGTACTTATCCCAGTTTTCATGGCAAGAAGCGAGAAGGAGTATTACAAAATGTGATCTTTTTCGTGACATTTTAGATTGAACTCTGTAGAGGAGTTTTTTTATACTCACCTAAACATTGAGAGATATTTTTACTCCCAACAGCAAGGGTATAAGTCTTCGTAGGACAAACCCTGCATTCGCCCACCTGACCAGTGTATGTGTTGTATGCGTCAAGTGGACAATCTGAGCAGTTTTTAAAGTTAACGTCATAGTATGTGCCAGACGGACAGTTTTCTAGGAGAAAGACAACCACATATATTTAGATTAGTGATCTTGTCTCATGCAGTGCAATATCTGAGTAATGCCGTCGGAGCGATGCTAAAATATTAAGAAGTGGAACTCCCCCCTTCCCCTCCCTTCCTTCCTATTCACTGCTCTCGTGCCGATATCGACCGGCAAACAGAACATTTAGCACCAAAAAAGAGTTATGTCATGAAAATTATTCAGATTCGCCTCTTTTCACGAAGATGGGTTTCAGGGTTTGTTTGCTTCTGGATCTATAAAGTTTAAAAAAAGGAAAAGAGAAAGAGTGAAAACTGTGAATAATCTGTGAAGAAGTACACAGATTATAAACTACTTACGACATTTTTCTTTGTGGAGGAAGCCTTGATTGAGACCAAACACGCCTCCGTCGACGCAGACTCCAGTTGTGGGGGTCTCCGTCACAGTCTTCAACGTCATTGTCTGGGAATTAACCTGAATTGTCTTCATTGAATCAGTGTTCTTCGCATTTGTTACGTTACCCTCCAAATCGGACTTGGCCTTGTCGAAATCGTTGTTCTGCGTAACAATCTCAACATCGAGTTCGATGGTTAGGACGGCCTAAAACAATGACGAGATAAGTTAGACACTTAAACCAATTCGGTAAGAAATTCCATGATGTAAAAACAGATCGTAGAAGCACTCGAATCAATAAACACATAGTAGGAAATGTTTGCATTGAGTTGATCGACTTTTAATTGTAGCAGTCGCTTCCGCAAAGCTTCCATACCATGGCCAGAGTTTCCCTATTAAAATCTCCACAGGACGCTTAGACTCCGAAAAAAAAAATCTAACTCATAGGCACGAAGATCAATGGCGATGCGTATTACATATTGTAAGTTTAAGTGGTTCGAACTGGCGGTAAAGAAATAATTTGCTTACTTGTGCATTTCTTCGCTTTCTCTTCTGAACCTTTCCACAAGTAATTTTGATATTTTCCAAGGTGCATATTTGTTCCCTTTGACAGTAGTTAGGGTCACCTGGAGCGAACACTTCATTAAATCCTTTTATGAAATTTTCTTTAGCTTGTTGCTGTACCGCGGGATCTGAGCAGTCTCCGACAAAGTATTGCCACTCCATGCCTTTGCGTGCAGCACCTGGAACATACTCCTCTGAAAAATAAAATGAACGTTTTCAGTCTGAGGGTTTTTACAAGAAAAAATTGTGAAATTGTGAATGCCTTCCTGAATCTCTTTTTGTGTAAATATTTAAAAGAATGAGAATGACTTCATCTAAATTTGCATCTTCTAATCACCCCTTTGTTGATGTTTGTATTAAGTTCTTCAACTTACAGGAGTTTTTGGTCAATTCACTGCGTTTTATGTAACTTTTGTATGGCAGCCGTCTACAGTTACTGAGCTTTGTCCTTAAAAGCAAGTTCAATTCGTTGGGGTTCTCTGGGTTAGGTTTTGCTACACTCAAGTGCTCAGTTGTGGTGGTTTTTTGTACCAATTTATTTTTTATTTTACCGTTCCTTTTCACATTCGTTCCGTAGTTCGTTTAGTTCCGTTTCTTGCTGCGTTATGTGTTCCTTAGTTGGTTTTTTGATTTTCCTATTTGGTTTGAAATAGAATGCATCTGCTGTCATCATGGTGGGCTTTCGCCCATGGCGGTTATAAGAGCAAAGATTCAATGAAACGAGTATAATTTTTAAGGATTGAACTTTCACCTCATCTGTTTCGCATTTGTTAATTTACATAGTTTTCATTAAATTATCTGATTGTCACTTTTGGTGACTACCGCGTGCACGCTCTTTAATTGTTGGCTGCCCGTGATTTTTCAAATGAGTTTCGGCGTAAACTGAAGAATTTTTTTCACAAATAATGTCAGTCGACTTACCCGTGCAGTCAGGCCACGGCATTTCCAAGGATACAGTTGGACGGGAATCCCAGATAAACCAAGTGCCACTACTTTGACAGATGTAGAAAACAGCCGGGATTCGGGCAAATTCTTTTGTGCTGCTACATTGGGGTGTGCACGCTTCTCCTCCAAAGATATCAGACTGAGCACAGGAAATTAGGCCATTGATTGGTGGATCGTAGGGCTTGCATTTCACAGCTACGAACAAGAGAAGATGTAGTTATTTCAAAATTTAATGCGATGTTCTTTGAGGAGAGTCTCAAGATGCGAAAAGTATTGAAAAGTTTGAAAAGATTAAGATCGAATGTTATTTGCTTTAACGACATGAACTTTTTATGATAGCTACTCCAAATTTTTAAATTTAGTGGCTGTTTGGAGGGTTTGGATTCCTGCTGGTTTGTATTGCATTTATTTAGCTTTTATTCGCGAAGGCTGGATCCGCCTCCGTTTGCTTTCAACTTCGTGTACCTTAAGCTGTAAGGATGGCAACTCCAACAAAAACGTCGATTGAAAAATTAATTTTTATCTTCTCAAGTAATTTGCAAATGACTAGATCATATGATTTCTTCTACAGCAGGGATAATAACTTCTCACCGGCCGAGTACCCTAAACCACCCCCCCCCTCCCCATTCCTCATTAACAATTTTAACGATCACTGTCTTGCATTAATTATTTGAAAGTGGACCTGTTATATGCATAATCATCCAAAGGAATCGCTGCTACAACTGATGAAGGGCTATCGCTTGAAACGTCAACTATAAAACTCTTTACGGTGGCCAATTCACATTATCAATTCAGTGATAATATTAAATTACCCTGTTATTCTCTCCCACTGACGCAGCACCACAGTTTCTCTAGAAATTTACCCCCTTTATCCATATGTTTCGAGAAAGGACATGAATTACGCTCGACAATATCGAAAGGTAATCTGAGTATCCGGTAATCAATTAATTTTCATAATTAAATAAATAAATAAGTAAATAAATAAATTCATCAAAACCCGCGAAGTCTCTTTCATATGGTATGGTTTTCTAAGATTTCCCTGAAATCCTGAGGTCAGGGAACCGTGACCTGAAAAGTACCCTCAATACCTTCCGGGATTATCCTAGGCACTCTCACGCTTGTTTTCTGACAATCTTTCTCGAAGCGGTATAAAAGCTGTACACAAAACAAAATTCAAACTTACAGGAAATGACAATAATAAACGTGCACGATCCTTTATTGTTATTTTGGTCTGTTGCCGTGTACGTGATCGGATGAGAACCGGTTCTAAAATCCGAGCCATTGATGGACTCTGTAAAGATGGTGACGGCCTGTCCGGAATTGTCTCGGTATGTCGGTGGTGGCCAATAGACCTTTATAGCTGGTGTGTCACTCTTCTTTTTGACCTCCATGTTTTGCGGGCAATAGATTGCAGGAGGCTCGTTATCTAAGTTAGAAAAAGTTGATGAATAGATGAATAAAATCATTGAAAAAGTCAACCAACAAATAAAGAAATGAATGAAGACGTTAATAAACAATTGCATTGATCAATAACTAGCCAAATACAAAGATTTGGAAATGAATGAACGGAAGACGAATAACGAGGTAAAAAATTTGTGGAACATCAAGACTGGTGATACTTGGAATAAGGGATTAAAAATTTGTGGAACATCAACATGAGACGCACCAAGCGTCATCAGAATATGTATGGATATATACACAGAGGAAATGAGAATTCTCGTTCGATGGTTGTTGATGACTAACCCAAGACAGTTACTGTGTAGACGCATGACTGGGTTAGGCCGGCTTTGTCCGTTGCAGTATATGTAATGCGAGTGGTGCCAATGGGAAAGTCGTACGGGGATATGATGTCAGGCGATCTAGTAACTGTTGGAGCAGCATTCGGATCGTGCAACTCTGCATTATCACTGACAACAGGATCACTCCAGGTTACGCTCCGTGTCGCCCGCTCGGGGTCCGTGCCGTTATTCACGTCGGGTGGACAGGTGATAGATGGTGGTTGCAGATCTGTAATTGAAACAATATGCAATGGCAGCTACGTTAGGACTTGAAAGGCTGCTAAACTGTCAAACAAAAATGGGCGAGAATTAAAATCATCAACTGGACAAGAACAAATGAACAACGATGGAGGATAAGAAGGCCAAATACTAGACATACGCAAAGCATGAGACACATCCGATGAAGGCGATGTTTTGCAGCATAGCAAAAAGCAAGGTAAGTTATAACAATGATTTATTTAAATTCATATATTTGCACTGCGGTGGAGAGATGAAATTAAGAGATCCTC